CTGAGGGGAGGGGGCCGGCCAATGGGCGGACGCGTTGCTCTGACGGGAGGGGGCCGGCCAATGGGCGGGCGCGTTGTTGTTGTCGGGCCGGCCGTTGTTTGGGTCTCGAGCGGGGCCGGGCTCCGGGGAGCGGTGAGGATCGGGTTGCCGGGGCCCGGCAGGTGGAGGTGAGAGACTCCGGCTGCGGCTCCTCTACCGGGGCCTGGTAGCGCGAGCGATCCCAACTGCCCCCCCCCCCCCCGCGCGCAACCCCCCCTCGGCCCCGCCCCCCCGCGCGCAACTGCCCCTCGGCCCCGCCCCCCGCGCGCAACTGCCCCTCGGTCCCGCCCCCCGCGCGCTCGGCGCAACTGCCCGCGATGTGCTGTTGCCGGTCTCCTGCCCCCCCCCGTCATGTCTGTGACAAGGCGACGCGCTCTGTGCCCCCCCGGTGTCCCTGCGGCTCCGGCTCCGGGGCTGCGGGACCCCAGGGCCGGTTCCGGAGGTGTCCGGGCCCAGCGCGGGGCCCTGCCCAGTCTGTGCCCGAGGGAGGGGGGGGCTCCGCGCTTCTCGCCGGGCTGGGGCGCGGCACCGCCGCTCACTCGCCTCCTCGTCCGTTCAGTCCCGCCGGGACGGGAGCGGCGGCCGTGTGGCGAGCGGGTGTGGCTGGAAGCGGGCGCTGGGCTCGGGAGCCGGGGGATCTCCAGCTCTCCCCGCGTCTGGAAACTAGTCAGCAGGTCACCAGCAGGGTGTGCTTTGGGGGCCGGTGTCTCGGGCCCTGCCAGGGCTGGAGAGCTGCTTTGATGGCCCAGGCCATGCTCTGTGCACTGGTCTGCCCCAGCGGCAGAAATCTCTGCCCCCTGCTTGCCATCCGTCTCCTTCCCCAGGGCCGGCTCTGGCTTTTTCGCCACCCCAGGCGAAAAAGCCTCCGGCCGCGCCGCCGCCCCCCTCCAGGTGCCGCCCCAAGCACCAGCTTGGGTGCCTGGTGCCTGGAGCCGGCCCTGTCCTTCCCAAAGAGCCCGTGGGAAGAGTTCTCCCTTTCCCCCCGGTAACCGGTTGCTGCCGTTTGATCGAGGTTACTAGGTACGATTGCGCCCCATAATATTGAAATGCCTTTGAGTCGTGTTGTGTTTCACCCCGTAGGTTGGCCAGCTTGAACAATGATTTGGACTTAGAACCATAAAAAGCAGGAGAGAGGAGGATCCGTGAGCAAAACATCTATATTTGGAAGCCTGTTTCATCCAGCAGGTAACAAATGGGATACCCTGAGCTGACCTCTCACTGCCGGGCCCGTTTCCTTCAGCACAACGGATTGGTGCATAGGGAGGTGAACCATGGAGCTTCAACTTGGATTTCATCCTGAAGTTTTGGAGCTCAATACTGTCTCTTGCAAATGTGTGACTGTGATCTCCTCCTTTGTGGAAATGTGATGGCCCAAAACCTTCCTAGATTCTTCCTCTCCTCACTGTTCCCCCTCTGCCCCCCCCCCCAAAAGAAAACAAAAGTCATTTTTATATAAGATGTCTTCAGCGTATAAAGGCTTTAGACTAAATCCATTCCTTGTGATTTCAGGGGTGGATTGATTCCTTGTGTTCATTTCACAAGTCTGTCAATGGTTTCCTCTCAGATTGCTGTCAGGAGAAAAGAGGGGAGCTCTCTCTCTTCGAGGGTGTCCCTCTCTGTTATAATTAAGCTCTGTGCCTTTCCTAGGCTTGGCAACTTTAACTGTTTTCTTTCTTTCTACCTTCTCTTCACACCTCTCAACGGGTGTTATTGTTATTCTTTGGTTAAGATTTTCAAAAGTGGGTGCCTAAAGTTAAGCTCCTAAATCCATATTTAAGCACCTAAATAAGTGGCCTGAGATTGAAAAGCAACGAGTTCCCCGCAGCTCCTGCTGTTGTGTGTCAGTTTAAGTTTGCCAAATGCTGCGGGATCCTTCAGGCTAAAAGGTGCTGTGGAAGCGTAACGAGTACTTTTACGGTGCTGAATAGTGGGCTCACATGTATAGGACATATAGAAAACCAGTCAGTGCCCCAGATAGCCTCCAGTCTCACTTCAGGCCCCACATGCAGCCTGAGCTGAACAAACAGGAGGCAAGGGAAGGTATGTGGATGGCCACATAGTCTGGCAAGGAGTGGTGTGCTATGCAATTTGTGTAGGGGCATAACTTGCTAGCTCAATTCATGTGTTTGTAGCAAAACTTTGAGGGTCTCAGTGAGGGAGCAGGATGAGGCCCTGGAACCAGGAAGGTTCGGTACAATGATCACAAGTTAGCGGTGGCTAGGGAGGAGCTTCTAATGGTTGGGTTGTTTTCTGCGCTCCTCAGCTCTCAGGGACAGCCCCGCAGCAGCCTTGGTGCAGACAAGAGGATGAAATCGCACTCTCGGTGGGGGACTAAACATGGAGATACGCTGCGGCGGCCTCTTGTTCAGTTCCAAGTTTGACTCAGGGAACCTGGCCCATGTGGAGAAGGTGGAACACCAGGAAGGAGAAGGGGACGTAGCTGGGAACAACAGCAGCAGCACTACTGTGTCTGCGGTGTTTGGCAGCTCCCTGCCCACGGCTGACTATGAATTCAATGTGTGGACCAAGCCTGACTGTGCTGAAACGGAGTATGAAAATGGGAACAGGTAAAGGGGCTTGGGAGGATGGTGGAGCTTCTCCTGATGAGCCTTCCTTTCATTCTCCCTGTGCCAGGAGGCAAGGCCGACATGAGCTAACAGCTGGAGCCATGCCAATCCTGGCAGTTTTTTAGCATGTGGCTCTGTTCCTTGGCCATTCCTTGCCTTCTACCCAAAGTGCATAAAGAGCACAGAGAAACCAAAGAGAGCGCCCGCTCTGGCACTCCGAGAATCCCTCTAGGGCCTCACTGCCTCTTGCATCCGTGCTAAGAGTAAAGCTTCTCGCAGGAGGATGCTTAGCTGGCAATTCTGGGGACGATACCCACGGCAGACTAGTATTCAGGTTCTCCTGTAGCACAGTCGGCTTCTGCAGCGCTAACAGGGAAAGAATCAGTCCCTCGAGTCCCTAGAGATCCAGGTGGCTGAGCTGCTGTGGGTAGCTTTGTAGAAAAGAGACACTTTTACATGCCCACTTCTCTGATTATGCTGCACTCTTACTCCAGGAAGCCTGAGGTTGCTGAGGTGACTTAATGCTGGAGTCCAATTCGGGTTCTGACCTTACTGCCAGTGCTGGTGCCCCAGCACCAGAGTTGTGGTGGGGTAGCAGACAGAGCCTGTCTGTGGGATAGAAGAATGTCAGCTCGATGACTCAGCGGACAGACTGACCTGGTCCTCTTTGTGGCATTTTCAGATCCTGGTTTTATTTCAGTGTGAAGGGAGGAGCGCCAGGCAAGCTGATCAAAATCAACATCGTGAACATGAACAAGCAGAGCAAACTCTATTCCCAAGGCATGTCGCCTTTCGTTAGGACCCTGCCTGTCAGGCCCCGCTGGGAGCGCATCCGGGAGCGGCCCACCTTCGAGGTATCCGTGCAGTGAGCGCGTCGGGGGATGCTGCTGCGTGGAGTTGACGGTGGATTGGTGCGTTGGGGTCAGGTCCTGTCTGCAGCTTTGTGACTCTTTAGCATTCTCTTTGGCTCAATGAGCAGCATGTAAGAGAGGGTTTAACTTCATAAAGGAAAATGTGAACTCCTGGGTCTCTGTAACAGTCTTACCATGGAGTCAGACAGTCCCTGTGGGCACTCCCAGTCTCTTTTGCCACCCAGGCAAGCTGGATTTAGTGCTAAATGATCACTTATACCAAAAATCACAAAATATTCAGGTTGCTCCCAGTCCCAAGAGACTAGTTGCTTATCCCAGATCAACTTGTACCTCAGATCTCACACCAAAGACAACATTGGTAGCCAATCCTATAGTAAACTAACTAAGGATTTATTAACTAGGAAAAAAGAATTACAGTATTTACAGATTAAAGCAGGCAACATATACACACACGAGTTCATTCTATGGCTCCACAAGGTGACAGAGATGTAGTAATCTGTCAGAACTGAATGTCTTTTTAGGGCTAACCCAGGGTGACCCGGGGATCTCTGCTTTTTGTTTCTTAAATTCAGCCCTTGTAAGAGTTCAGATAGCAAAGAGATGAAAAAACTTCTTGTCAGCTATCTCTAGTTCCCTCTTCCAGACCTCAAGCTGATGGGACGCATGTAGCACCTTCATGGTTGTAAGAAAGCCATTACACTGGTCTTTGCATTGTGATGTTCCACAATGGCCCATTTAGTCTCGATAGTTCTTCTGGATGGTGTGGGGGTCACTTTTCCTGCCTAGGTTCACAAGTTCAGAGCAGGCATTTTTACACTTGTAAATCAAAACTTACTTATGACCTTATAGCACAGGATACAGGCTATTACAAGCATTTTATAGAGACTAAACACATTCTTACAAGTTCAGCCCCCATCTCAAACAATATTAACATACAGGTGGGCTGGGCTCTTTTCCAGCTATGAATTTGTCAGTGCTCAGCTGACGCCTACAGCCTTGGCAAGAGCTGGCACCTGGTTTACCAGGGTCACGCCCAGGAAACTCCTCCTGCAAACGGAAGATATTTTTTCTCTAATCCTTCAGTTGTAACGATAGCTGGGAAACAGCCTTCCGAACTGAAATGCGATTGTTAAGATAGTTCCGTATTTAAAAAAAAAAACATGAATTGAAAACTGCCAGATTGAGAGTCCCTGAAGGGTTGGTGGAGGTGAGGGGGGCAGAGACACAACCTGGGCAGCAGCAGGACAGCAGTCACACTGACACATGCACTGCTTCACTAATGGGCCTTGTCCCTGCCCTGACATGCACACCTTTGCAGTGAGTTTGGTCTTTTGGCTCCTTCAGCACTTGGCCTTTGGAGAGGCTGGTCTTTGTTATGTGTACAGTTGTTGCTGGGGATGGACTGAAAACCAGTAACCCTTGGATTGTGACTCTTGGTGACTGTTACTCTGAGCTTGGTTTGTTTTAGCAACCAAGCAAGAGTTGAAAGGCTCTTAATTCCATTGCAGATTTCCTGAGGTGGCCTGTCCCATTTCCATGCCTTTCCTTCCTCCCAAAAAACAACCCCAAATGCTTGGGCATTTAACCTTATCAAAAAATATATTATGGAAGGGGTGGGATGTTGCAGCTGGATAATTAGATGACATCAACATTTGCAGCTGAACAGGTTCAGATGGTGTCCCGGAGTCCCGGTCTCTGTGCTCTGGAACAGCTCTGAATGCAGTCAGACAGGAGTAGTGCTCTCAGGGCACATTCTCATTAGGGCAAACCTCCTCGGCTTCAGTGCCTCCTGAGTCTGACCTCGGAGCGTTGGACTCCCTGCAGTGAGTCCACCTGGATGGGACACCTGGGGAAGCCTTACACACCCCCCAACTCTGCAGCCAGCGTGGAAAACAGAAGGTTTATTAGTTGTTGGGAACATAGCGTAGAACAGAGCTTGTAAGCACAGAAATTAGAAACATTCAGCAAAGTCCATCCTGGGAGGGCACAGTCCTAAGCCCTGAACCCTGGGCTGTCCCCTTTTCAGTCCCCCAACCGCTGACTGACCAGCTTCCAGCAGCCCAGCCTCTGTCATGCCCAGTTGCCCGTCCTCCGGCCTTTGTCTCTTTCCCGGGGCAAACAGGGCACCTGGCCTCCCTCTCTCACTTTGTTCTCCAGCATCTCCAGCTGGCTCTTGCAGAGGATGGGCCCTGGCTCTCAATTGCCAGGATACAGAGTGTCGGCCATTGTCTGACCCAGGCAGTCACACCTGCCCTCTAAGGGTCTCTTGTCCCACCACCTAGATGCTTGAGTAACATATGGGGGAAACTGAGGCACACACGCAGTATTCAGACAAAACGTTAAGAACACTCCCACTTTGTCACACATGGGCTAACAGTATTTCAGACTTTGGGTCTCAGCAGATCACCGGAGGGGACAGGAAGGGGTCCCCTGTTCTTTCCTGGACAGTTTTGCACAATTGGCCTGGTGCATTTTGGGACTTTTCACCTTCCTTTGAAGTCTCAAGTCTTGGTCGTTGCTGTTGGGAGGCAGCAAAGTGAGATGGACCAAATGTCTGATCCGGTAAGGCAGAGCCTGTTTTCCTAGGCGGTGGTGTCTGGGCTCCTTAGGGATTCAGAGCAAAGATAGGTGGAAGCTGCTTCAATTGTGGGTTTGACTGCAAACTGCAGCCACTGTTTCGTGGTGATTATAGTACTGGTTATAATGCTAGAGCTGGGGGTGGGGGGGGAAATGGGCATATTTTTAGGTACAATGAGATGCATTGTAGGATGCCAGCCAGTAGCCATATGTGCCATGCTGTGTGCCCCAAGGAGGATGATGGTGCAGGCTCATGGTTCTCTACTCCTGGGAGCCATGCTAGCTGCTCAGCATCTGCTTTGTGTGTGTCTGTCCCAGATGATGGAGACCCAGTTTGTGCTGTCCTTTGTGCACCGCTTCCTGGAGTACCGTGGCACCACCACCTACTTTGCCTTCTGTTACCCCTTCTCATACACGGAGTGCCAGGAGATGTTGGCACAGCTGGACAGCCGCTTCGAGGAGTGTAAATACATGTCACCCAGCAGGTGCGCACCACCCTTGTTACCCTCTCTGCCTGTCTTCCTCCAGCCTTGATATGTTGGCTCTGTTCAAGCGTACCTGTTGCAGTGGTTCTTGCCTGGGTGGGGAGTTGGGGAAATTGTGCCAGCTGCTCTCTTGTTAGCTGCCGTGGGCTTGTGTCTCTTATCTCAGCTCTGGAATGAGCAGCCACAGCCGTTTTATCTGCACCCCTTGGTTCCCAAATGAGTGGTTCTTGGCGAGGGGGCAGGTGAGCAGAGGGTGCCCTTTGGGCTTTATTTCGGGTCTCCTCCGGGAACAGCATTCTCGATCCCAAGGTCAGACCAGCTTCCGTGCGTTCCCTGTGGGTGGGTCCTGAGTGGATCACTAATTTCCATAGCTCTCAGCCGCCTGGGACCCAAGTGTAGGGGACGGGCAGCGGCGGTCTGTAGCATCCCTGGTTTCGCAGCCTCAGTGTTTCATACTGAGGAGCAGAGGTGACGGAGGGTCTGTAATGTGGAGAAGGAGGGAGTGGAACCGCTGCTGCCCCCAACGCTGCCTTTTGAGAGAGGTTCTAGGAGACCTGGCTAAGCAAAGGCTTCATTCCTTTTTAGCTTCCTGGCTGCAGAGCATCATCTCACACAGACCTTTTCCCTCCCCTCGGCAGCCCGATCCCAGGGAAGGTCCGTACCTCCTGGGGCTGATCGTCAGCACCAGGTATTCTGGCTGCATGGCGCTCGCACCAGAGACCCTCCTCTGTTTCTGGGAATTGCTTCTGCTCCCTTTCTCAGAAGCTCATTCTGATCTCTGCAGCACTGTTCTGTGTTGCAGTCTCTCCCACCTCTATTGCTTCCTGGCCCGGAGGCTCTTCCATACTCTGCTGTTATAGACCTAAACCATTTTCCTTAGGCAAGCAGAAAGTAATTCTTTATCTCAAGGCAAATGAAAGGCATTCACTCCTCTCAGTGACCTTGTGAATGTCATTCCTCTGCTGATGGCTTTCCAGGGAGGTTTCAGGGAATCGAAGAAATTAGCAGGATATGAAAAGGCAGTTGATGCTGCCCATGAAACCTGTGGTCTCTGAGCTCAAAGAGCTGCAGTTCCATGACAGCCCCTGGCCTTTCTTCGGCTCTGGTTTGACAGGGCGTGCAGGAGCCAGAGCAGAGACCTCTCACTTGGAGCTTTAGAAAGAGAGAGGAAACTGAACTATGAATCCAGCCAGTTGCTCCATGTTTACATATCTAGCCTGAGAGTTACACAAATTCATCCCATGCTGCTGAAGTCCAGGGCGTTGCCCTAGGGATGAATTTGGCCTCCTAATACCAGTGCTCCCTGCTCTGTCAGGCTGGTGAGTGGGAAATCCCTGTGTGATACTTGGTTGTGCTTCCTGCTGCTTCACTCTCCCTCCCGGGGGTCGCGGGGGTCTCCTTGAGAATTTGGAGCCGCCTTTTCCTTTTGGCTGAGCAAGTTTCCTCTCTCCTGATCCCAGACCAGACTCCTCTGCTGCTTTTGAAGAGTCAATGTCCTCTTGAAAGCTCAGGTCCTTCCACAGGTCTTGGGGTGGTGCCCATGGCAGGACACCTGACTAGAAGAGCCAACAGCAAGCTGTCTGCTCCTGTCCCACTGGAGGGAACCAGTCGCAGCCTGCCCCGGGTGCTTTCTGGGAATGGAGAGCGTTCCCTGAAGAGCCAGTGATGGGCAGGGTTGTAGAATTCAGACATTCTGCGTATTTTCCTTGGATTCCTGCCTTAATCTATGTTGGGAATCTCTTGAATGGAAGTGCCGAGGGGCTTGGGGGAGAACTGTGTTTGTCGACCTTCTCTGCCTGTGCTCATGTCATCTCTCCAGCCTCTGAAGCTGGCATCCAGCCCTCCCGAGAGAGCCTGTCTGCAACTTTCAACTTGCTTCTCTTGGAGCGCTGCTTGCAAAGGGCCCTTTCAGGCAGTGTCAGCCAGCGCCCCCAGGGCAGAATGCTCCTGTGTCTTATGCTGATCCTTTGGCCTGGAGTCCTTGAAGAACCTTGGGTTGAATTTGAGCCCTCTGATTGGGCCCTTTTGCCATTAAGGATTTGTTTTCTTTCATATGTGATCTGTTAGCCTTAGCAACACCTGATCTGTCAGGCTGTTCACGGCATCGTCATGGTGACTGCCTTCGTCTCTTTCCTGTCCTCACCCCCCTTCTGTTTTGAAGCAAGTGGGCTGGGTATCAGATGCCTGATGCCCCCCAGCCTGAAGGATCCTGGGGACATTAGACCACCACTCACCTACATCCCCCCGTCTTGTTATACAATGGATAGTGGCGAACCAGTAGTGGGGCAGAACACCACTTTTAAGCTTAGCTGCCAGCTCTCCCGCCACATCCCTTGTGTTCTATAGCCTGGGATTCTTCATGTCATGGCTCTGTTTCAGATTGAGTCCTGCTGGACGCCGGCAGCCAGAGCTGGCCCTAGACATGTACACTGCTTGTATGCATGGCTTCCTGCCTTCTGCATGTGTTCTGGACTGATGGCTCCCTCCCCAGGGCTCTGCAGTGCCCAACCTGATTTCCCTCTCCACACCTCCCTTTGAATTCAGTAGCTCAGTCTGTTTTGAATCCATGCTTCCAGCTGTGTCCCCCACACCCACCTAGATCATATAGACATCCGAAAGAGGGGCACCAGAGGATTGGCCCGCGGCAGCTTGATCCAGCTGCTCCCCTTCCTTTTGACTTGGTCTTTGGTCTCTCGGTGCATCCCTGTATTGGGGCAACAGCTGAGCAGAGACTTCACCTGACTTTTCCACTCCCATGCTCTCAGGCAGGAGCAGAAGTTACAGCCTCCCCAGCAGAGGCCTCAAAATGAGCACGACCAACAGAGGAGCACTAGGGCTGGGCCATTCATAGGGGCTGGCTAGGTGATGGGAGGGTCTCTGGGCTGCTGTCACCAGAGCGCAGAGGGAAGAATCCTTCAGGTCAGCTGGTGCCTAGATGCTCCTTGGGGGAGGAGAGGGCCAGGGAGGACAGGAGTACTGCTGAGATCAAAAAGCCTGGGGAAAGAATAAGTCTGTATGCTGTGAAATGGAATTGGGGGTGGGGAAGGACAGGGGGACGATAGACCAGAAGAGGAAGAGAGTGTCGGGGAGATGGAAGGATAAACCAGAGACACAAACTGGCAGTTAAAGAAGTGTTAAATGTTTTAGAGCAATTAGCGAGAGGGAAGGGGCTGAGGGAGAGATTACAGCCAGGTGCACGGAAAGAGCCTGAAGCCAGGGAGATGTCGTAACATTGTCAGTGATGGAGAATCTACCACGACCCTTGGAAAAATATTCCAGTGGTTAATTACTCTCCCTGTTAATAATTTATACCTTATTTCCAGTCTGAGTTTGTCTAGACTTAATCTCCAGCCCTTGGATCATGTTAGACCTTTCTCTGATAGATTGCAGAGCCCCCATTATCAAAGAAGTTTCCCCCCTGTAGGTACTTACAGACTGTGATCAAGTCACCCCTTCACCTTCTCTTTGTTAGACTCAAGAAACTAAGGCTAGATATACACTACAGCGGGGGGTCGACCTAAGATACGCAACTTCAGCTACGTGAATAGCGTAGCTGAAGTGGCGTATTTTAGGTCGACTTACCTGGCTGTGAGGACGGCGGCAAGTCGATCGCTGCCGCGCCGCCGTCGACTCTGCTACCACCTCTTGCCGCGGTGGATTTCCGGAGTCGACGGCAGAGCCATCAGGGATCGATTTTATTGCGTCTTCACTAGACGCGATAAGTCGATCCCCGATAGACCGATTACTACCCGCCGATCCGGCGGGTAGTGAAGACGTGCCCTCAGTCTATTGAATCTATGGCTATAAGGCAGGTTTTCTAATTATAGAATCATTCTTGTGGCTCTTCTCTGCACACGCCACAATTCAAGAAGAATGTTGTTAAATTGGAGACACCAGAATTGGACACAGGATTCCAGCAGAGGTTGCACCAGAGCCAAGTACTGAGGTCAAATAACCTCTCTACTCCTACTCAAATCCCCTCAGGATGGCATTTGCTCTTTTAGCAACAGCTTTGCACTGAGAGCTCGTCTTGAGCTGGTTCTCCATCACAGCCCCCAGAATCCTGCCAGGATAGTCCCCCAGCCTGTAAGAATGGCTGCCGGTTTTGTTCCTAGATGTACACATTGACATTTGGCTGTATTAAAATGCATACTGTTTGCTTGCGCACGGCTTACCAAGTGATCCAGATTGCTCTGATTCAGTGACCTGTCCTCTTCGCTATTTACCATTTCCCCCAATTTTTGTGTCATCGGCAAACTTTATCAATGATGATTTTGGTTTTTTCCAGGTCATTGATAAAAATGTTAAATAGCTTAGGGCCAAGAACGGATCCCTCTGGGAACCCATTGGAAACGCCCACTCGATGACGATTCTCTGCTTACAGATAACCTGGCACACAGTAAATGGATTAAAAGCTGGCTAATTGTATGTCATTCTAGTTTTTAATTAAAATGTCAGGTGGTACCAAGTCAGATGCCTTAGAGATGTCTATTAGGTGAACACTATTCCCTTTATCAACCAAACTTGTAATCTCATCAAAGAAAGAGATCAGGTTATTTGGAAAGGATCTGTTTTTCCTAAACCCATTAATTATATTATCCTCCTTTAATTCTTTATTAATGAGCCCCATACCATGATATTGCCCGGGATTGCTGTGAGATGACAGGCCTATAGTTACCAGGGTCATCCCGTTCTCACAAGTTTACTGCTCAGCTCCGCTCACAGCTCTCACTGTCAGCTGAAATGTAACAGGTTCAGCTGCATTCGTGATCTTCCCTCGGCTTTCCCCATTCTCTTGTAACTGCATCCTTTACTCTATCAGGGAAAGAGTTTAAGGTAAGAAGAGCCCATTGGATATTCCATCTGACCTGCTGTGTATCGCAGGCTGTTAAACATCACCAGTTACCCCTGTAATGAGCCCAACAGCTTGTGTTTGGCTCAGGCATTTCCCAGAAAACCATCAAGAGACTTCCCTCAGCAGCTTGTTCCCAGGGTTAATCACCCACAGGGCTTGTCTACACTTACCAGGGGTTGATGCACAGCGATCAATGCATCGGCCGTCAATTTAGTGGGTCTAGTGAAGACCCTCTAAATCGACCGCAGATCGCTCTCCCGTCGACTCCTGTACTCCACCTGAACGAGAAGTGCAAGGGGAGTCGACGGGAGACATCGCGTAGTGTGGACCCCGCGGTATGTAAAGCTAAGTACGTCGACTTCAGCTACATGAATAACGTAGCTGAAGTTGTTTTAACTAGATCGGTTTCCCCCCCCCCCCCCGTAGTGTAGACAAGGCTTCAGTGTTTAAAAAATGTTTTACTTCTCATTTGAATTTGTCTTCCAGCTGGTGGCTTGTGTTTATGCCTTTTCCTGCTAAATTCAAGAGCCCTTTGGGACATAGTATTTTCTCCCCAGGCAGGTACTGACACACTGTACTCAAGGCACCTCTGTCATCGTTTTGATCATGTTAGCAGCTGGAGCTCGTCCGGTCTCTCACTGGACGGCATTTCCTCTGGCTCTTGAATCATTTTTGTGGCTCTTTTCTGCACTCTCTTTTTTCAACATTTTTTAAAATGTGGACTCCAGAGCTGGACGCCATGTTCCAGTGTCGGTCTCCCCAGTGCCATATAAGGAGGGACAATCACCTCCTTGCTCCTACTCACCACCACCCTCTGTCCTGTGGGCATCACCTGTGATTCCTCTGGCTCTGGACCTGCACGTCCAGGCCAGGGCTGCTTGTTGCTTTCTGTACAGCGGTCCAAGGTGCAGCCTTTCACCACCTTCCCTATTGCCTCATACAGGTGTCAGGGAGCCACGGGGTCTGTGCCGCACCCCAGCTTTGGAATGGTCTCTGGGAGGAACCCCTACAGTATGCCAGACCCCCCAGGGGTCCCACTCTTCCTCCAGGGTAAGCCACAAGGCTTCCCCCTCCCTCCCCCAAAACTGGGCCTCTGAGCCTGCAGACCCCCTGCTTCACGTTGTGAGCCTGGTTTAGGAAGTTCCACTGAGCCAGACCCTGGGGGAGACGTGTCCTCTCCTCACGGATCAGTGCCCCTCGCCCAGTGTCTGCAGGGACACTCACCCAGCGCTGTGAAACCAGGCGGGTTTATTGGTCACCTGGCACACGGCCCAGCCCGGCCCAGCCTGGTCAGCCAGCGTCCAGCCCAGCTGCAGTGACTCCCGTGGTTCAAGCTCTGTCTCCAGCCCCCACCTCTTATCCTCACACCTCCCCAGTCCATTGTTCTCGAGCTGGGAACATGGCTCAGCCTCCTTGCTGAGAGATGGGGAAATCCATCTGCCTCTGGAGCCAGGGTTGCCAGAGGTAAATGTCCTGGGGACTGGATCTGCCGTTGTCTTCTCGGATTCTCCGTGGATAGGGGTCTACCTCAGCCAGTCCTTTACCAGTGTCCCATCCCAGCTCAGACCACTGGGCGCCATTCACACTTACGTCTCCCAGCCTCCCTGAGAGCAAACAGTCCCTTTCCCCTCACTGGGTAACACTGCTACTTATAGGGGAAACTGAGGCACACACCGGCTTCATACAAATATTTCAAAAATGTCCACTTCGTCCCCATAGGCCATTCCTCGTCTGCCCTGTTTGGTTATTGCTGCCTCTTCTTCTCTGGCCTCCTGGGTGCCTCTTGGGTCTGTCCAGAATGCTGTTGCTGAGAGCTCATTTTCCTGGCCATCACTCTGGCCGTGTCAGCCCCTCGGGATCCCTGCACTGCGTCCTCTGTACCCTGTGCAAGCTGCTTGTCGCTCCTTGCACAACTCTGCTCCTTCCTTGGCCTGCTCTTGTCTCACTAGGGCACCCCTCCTCCTGCAAGCAGCACCAGCCTTTATTACCCATCCAGCTGCCCCTCCCACAGGCAGTGCCCTCCTTGAACTGATCTGTAAAGAGGCAACCGGGTCCTTCCTTAACACCCTCCCCAAGATCATAGAATCTTAGAATATCAGGGTTGGAAGGGACCTCAGGAGGTATCTAGTCCAACCCCCTGCTCAAAGCAGGACCAGTCCCCAACTAAATCATCCCAGCCAGGGCTTTGTCAAACCTGACCTTAAAAACCTAAAAAAATGCACCTGTGGCGATCTGTAGGCTGAACTGGTAGGGAGCTGGCAGGGACCAGTGAGTCCAGTGCCTCCTGTTGACACAACCCACCACTCTCAAACCTGCAAAACGTGCCCATGGCCCCATCATCCTGAGCACCTGCCTCCCTCACCCACTCCCTCCACCTGCGAGTTACACGAGCTGGGGTGTCTGCTCTGCCGTGGGGCGAGGGCAGTGTCTCCGTACATGTTTGTGCATCACCCACGATGGTCCTGAGTGGCCTGTGGGCGCTGCTGCAGTGGAAATAATAAAGAAGTGGTACATAGGGCTGGGCTCCAGATTCCAGGCAAGACTCAGAACTAGACGAGAGCAGGGTGGCTTAGGGCTTCCTGCACTTAGACTGGATAGCCAAGCCAGGCTGGAGGCCTCACCCAGGGGCCCCAGAACTGTTCTGGGGGATGGGAGGAGAGCAGGCACTGAGGGAAGCCAGGAGAAGGTAACTTCCTCCCAAAGGGAATGCAGAATGGAGCCTGGGAAGGCTGTTGGCAGGACACCCGCTGCTTGGATTGGTGGCCACCTTCCAAACTCAGGTGGGACTCTGCTAGTCCTCCTTGATGGGGCCTGTCCCCTGGCTGGGAAGGTGGGTACCCCTCCCTAGTGCTGAGGCCTGGGATTCCCTTTTCCAGGAGTGCTCAGCTGGTATGTGGGGGGAGCTGCCCTTCCTTCCTCGACTGTCACAACTGCTCTTCAGGGCCTTTCTGCATCTCCCCCCCGCAGCACCCTCGACTCCATCTATTACCATCGAGAGCTGCTGTGCCACTCCCTGGACAATCTGCGGGTGGACTTGCTCACCGTCACCTCGTGCCATGGCATGAGGGAGGAGCGCGAGCCCAGGCTGGACAACGTATTCCCTGACGAAGCCACTCCTCGTCCGCATTGCTTTGCAGGGAAGAGGGTGAGTCGCTGGCTGCCTCTGGGTGGGGATGGGGACTGGACTGCCTGGGAGCCCTGGGACGGACATCCTGCCAGCAGACTGGCTGTCCTGCTTGCTGGCATGTCTGCCCCCTGGCAGTTCCTTGAGTCCAAGCACGGAGGATGCAGGGAACAGCCTTGTCCTCATGGTGGGAAACATCCCTTAGAGGAAGACGTATTAACGGGGATAACCTATATCCCAGTAAAGAGGAGAAGATAGAAGTTAATAAAGTACAGGCAGGATCTGAAGAGAAACCATTCAATGAAAGAGAGCCCCATTCAATGACATCAAATGAATGCAGACAACTAAATAGTGACAAATGTAAGTGCTGGTATACAAATGCTAGAAGTCTAAATACTAAGATGGGTGACCTCGAGTGCCGGATATTCGATGCTGATAGGCATCTCAGAAATGTGGTGGAACGCTAATCAATGGGACACAGTAATACCAGGGTACAAAATATACAGGAATGACAACTGGTTGCGCTGGTTGGGGAGTGGCACTATATGGGAAAGAAAGCGTAGTCACATATAGTGAAAATTTTAAATTAAACAAACTGAACCATAGAATCTCCATGGATAGAAATTCCAAGCTTGAATAACAAGAATATAGTAGTAGGGATGTATTACCGACCACCTGACCAGGATGGCGATAGTGATTGTGAAAGGCTCAGGGAGACTAGAGAGGCTATAAAATTAGAAAACTCAGTAATAATTGGGGATTTCAGCTATCCCCATACTGATTCACCTCAGGATGGGATGCAGAGATAACATTTCTAGACACCATTAATAGCTGCTTCATGGTGCAGCTAGTCTGGGAACCCACAAGGGAAGAGGAAATTCTTGATTTAGTCTTAAGTGGCTGACAGGGTCTGGTCCAAGAGGTGAATATAGCTGAATCGCTCGGTAATAGTGACCATAACGGTATTAAATGTAATATCTTTTGGCGGGGTAATACCAAGAAACCCATCACAGTCACTTTTAACTTCGAAAAGAGGAACTACACAGAAAGGAGGACATTAGTTAAACGGAAATTAAAAGGAATAGTCGCAAGAGTGAAATGCCTGCAAGCTGCATGGAAATGCTTTAAAAACGCCATAAGAAAGTACACACTTAATTTGAGCCCCCAAATAAAAAAAACAGAGGACCAAAAAACAGTGAGGTGGCAAAATTTGCAGATGATACAAAACTCAGGATGGTTAAGTCCCAGGCAGACTGCGAAGAGCTACAAAAGGATCTCACAAAACTGGGTGACTGGGCAACAAAATGGCAGATGAAGTTCAGTGTTGATAAATGCAAAGAAACTCACATTGGAAAACAGAATCTCAACTCAACATATAAAATAATGGGGTCTAAATTAGCTGTTACCACTCAAGAAAGAGATCGTGGAGTCACTGTGGATAGTTCTCTGAAAACATCCACTCAATGTGCAGCGGCAGTCAAAAAAGTGAACAGGATGTTGAGAATCATTAGGAAAGGGATAGATAATGAGACAGAAAATATCATATTGCCTATATATAAATCCATGGTACACCCACAGCTTGAATACTGCGTGCAGATATGGTCACCCCATCTGAAAAAAAAGATATATAGGAATTGGAAACGGTACAGAAAAGGGCAACAAAAATTATTAGGGGTATGGAACAGCTTCCATATGAAGAGAGAGTAATAGGACTGGGACTTTTCAGCTTGGAAAAAAGATGAGTAAGGGGGGATATAATAGAGGTCTGTAAAATCATGCCTGGTGTGGAGAAAGTAACACAAGAACTAGGGGTCACCAAATGAAATTAATAGGCAGCAGGTTTAAAACAAAAAAGTATTTTTCACACAACATGCAGTCAGTCTGTGGAACTCTTTGCCAAAGGATGTTGTGAAGGCCAAGACTATAACAGGGTTCAAAAAAGAACTAGGTATATTCATGGAGGATAGGTCCATCAATGGCAATTAGCCAGGCTGGACAGGGATGGTGTCCCTAGCCTCTGTTTGCCAGGAGCTGGGAACCGGTGACAGGGGCTGGATCACTTGATGATTCCCTGTTCTGTTCATTCCCTCTGGGGCACCTGGCACTGGGTGCTGTTGGGCTAGATCAGGGGTTCTCAAACTGGGAGTCGGGCCCCCTCAGGGGGTCGTGAGGTTATTGCCTGGGGGGTCGTGAGCTGTCAATCTCCACTCCAAACCCTGCTTTGCTTCCAGCATTTATAATGGTGTTAAATATATAAAAAGTGTTTTTAATTTATAATGGGGGGTTACCAGTAAAAAAAAGTTTGAGAGCCACTGGGCTAGATGGACCTTTGGTCTGACCCAACATGACTGTTCTTATGGTCTTATAGGTTAAAATAGCACTATGTCTAAACAACAGAGTAGGAGAGGCGGTTACAGACAAAAAGGCATCCTTTAAGAATTGGAAGTCAGATCCTACTGAGAAAATAGAAAGGAGCATAAACTCTGACGAGTCAAGTGTAAAAGAATAATCAGGTAGGCCAAAAAAGAATCTGAAGAGCAACTAGCAAAAGACACAAAAAGTAAGAGCAAAACCAGCCAGTCAGTGGGGCCAGTGGACGATCATAGAATCATAGCAGATTAGGGTTGGAAGAGACCTCAGGAGGTATCTAGTCCAACCCCCTGCTCAAAGCAGACCAATTCCCAACTAAATCATCCCAGCCAGGGCTTTGTCAAGCCGGGCCTTAAAAACCTCTAAGGAAGGAGATTCCACCAGCTCCCTAGGTAACCCAGGAGCACTCAAGGAAGACAAGGCCATTGCAGAGAAGCTAAACGAATTCTTTGCATTGGCCTTCACTGCAGAGGGAGATTGCCCCACCTGAGCCATTTTCTTTTTAGGTGACAAATCTGAGGAACTGTCCCAGACTGAGGTGGTGGAGGAGGAGGTTTTGGATTTAGATAGTGGCAGGATGATATTTTCTATCCCTTTCCTAGCAGTTCCTAACATTCTGTTAGCTTTTCTGACTGCTGCCGCCCATTGAAACGGAACCTGCTTGGAGTGTTCAGATGCGGTGAGCTTGGGCTCGCACCCGGCACCGGTGGGCCAGATTCTTGGGGTGGGATGTGGGGTGGAGCCCTGGGAAATGTGCAGTCCCTGGGCTGACAGTGGCTGGAGCTCCAGAGCGGCTGGGTGTGTCGTGCAAGGTTGGGAAGGGAACAGTCGGTAGCTCTGAATGTCTCTCCCCTAGGTCTTCTTCCTGAGCAGCAGAGTTCACCCAGGGGAAACGCCCTCCAGCTTCGTCTTCAATGGCTTCCTGGAGTTCATCCTGCGGGAGGACGATCCCCGAGCCCAGATGCTGAGGCGCATGTTTGTCTTCAAGCTCATCCCCATGCTGAACCCGGATGGCGTGGTGCGAGGCCATTACCGGTGAGAGCTGTGCTGACTGCGGATGCTGCCCCCGCCCCTGCTGGGCTGGGTTTCTCTCTTGCATACCTCCCTGGAGGCAGAGGCTAGGCTCGCGTGCTGGCAGGAGCGCTGGGGGGCTGGCGGTAATGAACAGAGCTAGACGCCAGCTCCGGGGCAGCTGGGAACCAGCCTGGGTTGAGCTGTTGACAGGTTCTGTTTGCATCAGAACCTCCCAGTGAGGCAGGAGCTGAGTTTGGCAGAGTTTAGAGCCCATGACGCTCGGGTCAGGGCCAGCTCTAGTTTGGAGCCCGCTACATATCTCCAGAGGGACACAAACACGTTTAAAGTCCATGATCCCACCCAGGTGTTTGGTAGCCTCAGTCACTTGCCAAACCATGTGCAGAGCTTAGAGCGAAGGGGCAAGAATCACTGGCCCGGAGCAGAGCTCCAGGTTTTCCTGCCTGAGTGGCTGACCTCCCCAGCGCCTGCCGCGCACGGTGTCAGGAGCAGACGTGCTGCTTGTGAGCAGGGCTCCAGTTGGCAGCAGACACTGCTGATTGACCCCAAGGTCCAGCCTGCACAGAGCCTGTTGGTGGGAGGGCTGCAGCTCGCCGCCTCGTTGGCCTTGCGAGAGAGCAGGGCTGTGTCTGACGCACACCTGGCCGCTCCCTTCGAGCTGTGACTTAGTTGGTAGCCGGGCTCTGAGCTGTGGTGTGTCACAACAGCAGCTCCTGCTGGCCACTGAAGGAGCTGCAGCACCACTATCTGTGAGCACAACCAGCCATTCAGGAAGGGGAGACGCTCCAGAGTCTGGTAGCAATGGGTTGTCTCTTGGCCAGGGGCCCCCTCGAGCTGGTACAAGTGAGTGGGGATGGGCGAATAGGGCAGGGTGTCTGTAGCTGAGCTTTAGACCCCGCAGCATGGTCTGAACCCCTGGAGATACGAGCTTCTCCTTGCAGTGACTTAAGCTGAAGGAGTGAGTGCTGCGGGGGGAGAAGGGGAGCCTCTGGGAGGGCCAGAAGGCCTTCTCCTTCAGTAACTCCCCCGATCTCCCTGAAGAGGCAGTGCTGCCCCCTTTGAGTTGCCTCTGTGCCTTGTGAAGGTCTGATGATGGCTCCTTCAGCCTCAGTGGAGCCTCCAGCAGCTTGCTGCATGCTCTGTCCAGCCCTGGGGGTGGAGGGTAGCATTTGCTGGCCCACCGCAGGGTGGGGGAGGAGATCCATGGGAAGGACTCTGGGCCCAGCCCCTGCTTCGGCAGCATGCCCTGAGGCCTGCAGTGCCCGGCAGAGAGCATCCAGCTGGGGACAGGTAGGTGTCATGTTTCCCCTTTCCCTTCTGCAGAACCGATGCCCGGGGGGTGAACCTGAACCGCCAGTATCTGAGCCCTGATGCAGAGCTGCACCCTGCTGTGTTCGGAGCCAAAGCCGTGCTCCTTTACCATCACATCCACAGCCGTGGCCCATCCGGCGCTCCCGACTGGAGGGCACATGCCTCCCCGCTCACCTCCACCTCGCTAAGCACAAAATCTTCCCACCATTCCATCTACAACTGCACCCTGGCCCCGGAGGCTCCTCTGTCGGAGCTGGAGAAAGCCAACAACCTCCGCAACCACCCCAGCACCTATCTCACGCTTTCTCAGGACCCCCAGCCGCTGGAAGCACCTGCTGTCGAGCTGGGGAACAAGGACCAAGCTGTGTGGATCCTGCCTTCGGAGCCCACCGGGGAGCACTGTGAGAGGAAAGCCGAGACCCCCCTGGAAGCCGTCCTGCCCCAGGAGAGCGGGCTGGCGTACTACGTGGATCTGCACGGGCACGCCTCCAAGCGCGGCTGCTTCATGTATGGCAACAGCTTCAGCGAGGAGAACGCCCAGGTGAGGGCAGGGGCGGCGGCCGCTCAGCAGTGGGGGGATTCTGTCACCCTGGCGCCTGCTGCCTCCCCCAGGGCTGGGAAAAGGGGGAGTCCTGCTTTTTAAACCCAGACATAAATTGAGTTCAGCATGGGGTGAGGCCGGAGGGGGAGAATTCAGGATGGGGGTTGGCACAAGGCTGGCATAAATGCGTGGGGATTCGGGGGGCGTGCGCAGGCTGGGGGGAAGCAGGAGAGGTGCATCTGGCTGGAGTGGGGGGCTGGGCTGGCTGACGGGGAGGAGAAATGTGCAGTACAACTCAGGGCCTGAGAGCCTGGTACTGAGCTGCAGTGACACTGGAGTTCGTGGTGCTCCAGTCAGCTGTGTCTCTTAGCAGTACTTGGCTTGCCTCGGGAGCCAGCGGTGTGCCCGCACCATGTGGGCACTGCCCGACCTCTGTCTGCCTCTCTCAACCCGTAGGTGGAAAATATGCTGTTCCCGAAACTCATCTCCTTGAACTCAGCTCACTTTGACTTCATGGGCTGCAACTTCTCGGAGAAGAACATGTACGCCAGAGACAAGCGGGACGGGCAGTCGAAGGAGGGCAGTGGACGAGTGGCTATCTACAAGGCCTCGGGCATCATTCACAGGTGTGCGGGCCCCTCGCGGGAGCTCTCCCCAGCCCTTCAGGCTGCTCGCGTAGTGTCAGCACCACCTGGTTTAGAGCAGCTGCTCCCCCACATCACCACGCAGCGGGACACTGGGCTGAACCAGTGCTGTGGCTGTAGAGGAAATGCTCCGTGGCTCCATGGCCAGCATATGGGGCCAGCCTGGGGTCTGCACAGGCTCTGCCAGAAAGGCGTAAGCTCCGTTTGATGCCCGGCATAGGCAAGAGCAAGGATTGGTGCCCTGCCATGCCCACCTCTCTTGCCTGCCTGTGCCTGGCCCTGCAGCGGCTCCATGTGGGCTGGCCAGCAGTGGGGCCCAGCCCAGAGGCTCAGTGTTAGTAGGAACCAGCCAGGACCTGGAATCCCAGCACTAGGGTTCCACCATATGGCTTCAGTGGCCATAGCTGAGATCTGGCTACTTGCTGTGATAAGCTCAGTCACCCCTGCTGTGAGTCCAGGTGGGAGCGGGTGCTGCTGTGGGTGCCCTGCCCCCACACGGGGGGCTGGCTGAGCCTCCCCTCTCGCTGGGGGTTGCTGGCATTGAAGTTTGCCTGTCTGTTTAGTTTGGCTCTGCAGGCCCTGGGCGTTCGGAGCTGTTTGCATGCAGGTGCCGCTAGCCCTGCTGCTTTCAGGGGAGGGCTCGGGAGTCCTGAAAAAAGGCTCTGGCTTTTCCTGCTACAACTAGAGTGCAGTGATGGGGCGTGCAGTGAGTTCCCTCTCCTGGCTCCTTGCGCCCCGCTTCCTGGGGGGAGTGCTCAGCAGAGCTGGGATGCTTGGAAACCAGTCCTGGTCTCGGCTTGGCTCCTCCCACCTGGAGCCACCTCCATTCTTTAGAGGAGGCTGTCTGGCTGCAGGAGGAAGGAGAGCAGCTGGTCGGCACCAGGAAGCCGTGTGGACAGGACATAGGACATCTGCTCTGTCACTACCCAGCTGTGACCTTGGACAGGTCCCATTGCCTCCCTGAGCGTCTCTGTCTTGTGTAGGTTTCAGAGCGGAGCCGTGTTAGTCTGTATCAGCAAAAACAACGAGGAGTCCTTGTGGCACCTCAGAGACTAACACATTTATTTAGGCATAAGCTTTCGTGGGCTAGAACCCACTTCATCAGCTGCATGGAGTGGAAAATACAGTAAGCTGGATATATATACAGCACATGAAAAGATGGGAGTTTCCTTACCAAGTTGGGGTCAGTCTAACGAGACAATTCAATTAACAGTAGAATATGAAGGGAGGAAAAATCACGTTTGTAGTGGGAATGAGAGTGGCCCATTTCAGACAGTTGACAAGAAGGTGTGAGTAACCGCAGGGGGAAGTTAGTTTGTGTAATGACCCATCCACTCCCAGTCTTTATTCAGGCCTAATTTGATGGTCTGTCTTGTGTAATTAGTCCAGAGGGGCTATGTGTGTGCAGCTGCCAGCGCAGCGGGGGTCTCGGAGCGTGTGTAATAGAACCAATAACAAGGGACTGCAGCTGTGCGTCTGGGCCCTGCCTTAGAGAGACGGCCCCAGCACGGGCCGTGCTGATGCAGTGGGAGGTGGCCCCCCCGCCAAGGATTGCTGTGCTCAGGGAAGGGGTTTGTAGCAAGACGTGCTGGGAAAGGGCTGCTCACCTCTGCAATGAGAATGGTGGTCCTGGCTGTCCTGCTGTCAGGACAGTGGTCCTGTTTCAGTGAGGGCTGCCGGTGAGAGGTGCCCCTCGGAGATGCTGAGAGGGGTGTCGTGTCGTTTGCTCTGGGTGCATGTCTCTGGAGCCTGGGAATAGTAATGGGGACAGTGCTGGTCCTCGTGGTGTGGATGAAGTGACATGGGCTTCCCTTGTGTTTCCTAGCTACACACTGGAGTGCAACTATAACACCGGGCGCTCAGTGAACAGCATCCCCATGGCCTGCCACGACAATGGGCGGGCGAGCCCTCCACCCCCTCCAACCTTCCCCACCAAGTACACCGTGGAGCTGTTTGAGCAGGTAACGCGACTGGCTTGGTCACTCACGGTGCCTCACGGAGCCATATGAGGGGGAACCTGGCGGGCTTGATCGCACGCAGTGCCTTGCGGAGCCATATGAGCAGGGAAACCGGCAGGTGCAATCACTCTCAATGCCTTGTGGAGCTGTATGAGCGGGGAACCGGGCAGGCTCCGTCACTCGCGGTTCCTCGCGGAGCCGGACGAGCAGGGAACCCGGCAGGCTCCGTCACTCGCGGTTCCTCGCGGAGCCGGACGAGCGGGGAACCCGGCAG